CATAAGAGCCAGATGATCTGCTGTGAATGTGATCTTTTCTTAAACTAAATGCTCTTTGAAGCAGTGAAACGGTTAAACTGGATATAAACTCTCTTTAAGGCTGAGCTGTGGCTCTTCAAATTTGTGACCCTGCTCAGGCCCCACACCCACACTTTGAGTTTCCTTGTGGAGGCAGGAAACCTACACTTAATGGTCTCTGCGGTCCAGTGATGCAGCGCACTGCCCCCAGTGGTCACAGGAGAGTTTCCTTAAGTTGGTGTCACATTATTTTCTCTGTCCATTGTCTTAAGTATGTGACCTCCTCATCTTAGCCAGCATTAGCCGTTAACCCTGCGGGGGGCGCTCTGAGGAGCTGAAGCACTGAGTAACTTATCAGCGGTCTTCCAGTGTGGAGGCATTAAAGCTGAGAGTGTGAGAGCAAACAGAGCAACACGGGGCCAAAGGCCCTGCTTAGTCATCGCTTCTCTCTGCACGCGCGATGGGGGGAAAAAAAGTGCCACTTTCGTCGGGCGGCGATAAGAGGGAATGAAAAGGCGGGAAACAGACCTGTGTAATGCTGATGGACACAGTCAGACCCCGGCTGAGCGGGGCAGGAGTGTGCAAATCAGCGGCTAAAAATGCCACATCAGCAGCGGTTGGATTTACTTGGATGAATAAACCCAGCTTGGGGAAGTGTTGGGGGGTTTGGGGCGGGGGGTGTTTGGAAGGTGTTGAGTGTCAAAGCGAGTGGCTGAGACACGGCTAATGCTCTCAGTGAGCTGTGGCCACCTAAGTAATTACTACCACTGCTGTTAGGCTAATCCGCCCGGCAGAGACGCAGACTCAGGGGAGCCCGTGTGGGGCTCCATCACCACTTGACTTGTGTGGATGTGTGAAGAATGTGAGGACCAGGTGTTCCAACTAGTACTACATGGAATTTAGACTCCAGGGGTGAAAGAGTCAGAAGTACTTCAAAAAATATATATATTCTCTCTCTCTCTCTCTTCCAGAAGCACCGACCACAGACTGACTGTGAGTGAAAACCTCAACAAAGATGATAAAATAATTATCTTACACTTCATTATGTTGGATTATTATGTTATTGCACATTGGCTTTTTTTCCTGACAGTTAAAAAAAGTAAAAAATTATTTTGCCTAATATTTTTCTAACTAATGTTTTTTTATATAATTATCATCTCGATGCAGAATTTAATATATTGATTAAATTAAGATATTGATAAACACTGATGTGTCTTTGTGTTCAGTTTGTTTGAAACACCAAATATATATGAACTAAATCAAAGGAGGGAAATTCATTTTTATTAAAATACCAAAATTGCTGTTGACTTTTAAATGTAATCTATTTCACTTTGTAATAAATCACTGGGTTTAAAAATAAAGATTTTGTGGCTGTAACAAAAGAGCACGTCCACCATGTGGCCGTGTAGTGAATGTACCAGTTAAAAATGAACTGGACTGTTTAATTCATTTATATTAATATTTTTAAAAAATAAAGCTTGAAGAAAATTTTTAAAAAAATCCCGTATATTACTTCATATTCAAAGTCTCCTGATAACTGACCAAGAACAAACAGAACTATTTGAGCCGAACATGAAAACGATGACAGAACAAACTCTAACTCTAACAACCAGTGACACAGTCACCACAGTCCAGTTGGTGTAACACCTGTTACAACTGTTACACTACAACAGCCCTCAGTACAGCCACGGTCAGGTGTTACCTTTGCGTTCGGAGCGTTTCTTGCGTCTCCTCTTGAACCTGCGTCTGATCAGGCAGTAATAGGAGTCCTGGTTCTGTGCACCAGCGGTGAGAAGGGCCATGATGACCAGGGGTGACCAGTACCTGGACCAGCGGTCTGAAAACTTCTCACTGACAGCCTGTCGACCTGCTCCTCACTGTTCACCTCTCACACTGACGACTGTAACGACGATAACAACAACGTGCTCTACGTGGAAACACCTGCAGCACTTCTCTGTTTCTACTTCTGTCCTCGCCTGGAATCCAAACTGTCTCTCCCTAACTCTCCTCCTCCTCCTCTCGCCGTCTTTCTCCTCTGTTGACTCCATGTCTGCCCTATCAGTAGTGGAGAGGGAGGTGTGGAGGGTGGGGGGAGGGTGGGGAGGTGGGAAAAAGAAGGAGGGGACTCTCGGAGGAGGAGGAGAGAGACTTGAGGTTTCAGACGGTTGTGGAAAACTCCGCCTCGGTTTTTTACACCAAAATCAACCCAAGACTCAGACATGGTCAAAAAACATCTGTCCAACTGACAGCTGTTCACAGCACGTTTCTATAGGTGTCAAAATGGAAATCACCACCTGCCAGTCCAACACGCCCACACACAGAACGTAGATCATGTGATACTAGAACCTGAATGTTATGACCACGTGACTGTACAGAACACGTAAAGACAGAACCAATGTGACCGTGTCCCCTCGGACTGTAGCTTTAATGTCTACAGTTTGAGAGAGAATGGGTGACGAGATGACGAAAAAGTGTACTCTGTCTCCCTCTAGCGGTTAACTTTTGTAATTACTGTCTTGACTGTAAGCAGAAAATATCAGACCTTGGAGTTTTTTTTACTATCACAGGTAAATGGTCTGCACATGGAGAATAACCATGGTTCTACTGTTATCTATCATTATCGATCTATTATCATTGGTTTGGCCTATTTAACAAATCAAAAATGAACAGAAAGACTAGACAACCTTACCTTTCTCTGGTGCTCTTGCTCTGGTGAAGGGTTTATGTGCCAGTATAAACCTGGGGAAATAAAAAAAAAGTAAGTAAACAACAGATATTTTATATAGTTTTACTGAATCCTCAGCCAGATCTTTACTTTACTTATATATATTACAATTTGCACAATTTCTTAAATTTAGTTTATATAGAAACAAAAATTATTATGACAACCATTAATCATTATAATTAATTTTTTATTTGCTTAAATATGTTTTAAAATCTTTCAAATGAAAATTGCACGCATTGAGACGCTCCGATCTCTCCAGTAGAGGGCGCTGGTATGCTAGCAGTGACACTGTTGAATGCGTGCATGTGGCGGTAGGAGGAAGTTAAAGTACGAGGCAAAAAAAAATCACCTTTACATTCGAATAATCAAACTTCATACACAGGGAATCGAACTAGTCATTTTTCTGCTGTAAGGCACGGTGACTAACCACTGTCCCCAACATGTGGCCCTGTTGTTTACAGTGAAATCAAACCATTGTTCAAGATGTTTTACTGTTTGACCTGTGTCTCCAAATGTGAAAAAATAACCCTGAAATTATTGTTCTTATTATTATGGTGGCTTATATTTTAATTACTCTAACTCTACACAAGGTTTAGGTAGTAAAGATGAATAGATAGTTGTGCTTGACGCTCGCGCAATGCCTTAAATAAATATAACATTTTTTGAAAAAAATACATGGAAATAAAAAACGTCTGAGGTTTTAGGTTCATTTTTCATAATTCAAAAGTACGTAGAAATTATACAAAGGACAAGGAGTCAAAGAAATTAATTCAAGACATGTGCTGAGGGAAACAAAAGTCGTCCAGAGAGGGAGGAAGGTTGAACCTAAATATACTCCAGGCACTGATCAATCACAGCTCTGTCTCCAGGCCTTTCTTCACCACAACGGCCCTGGACCAGGACCAGGAACAGGAACAGGACCAGGACCAGGACCAGAACCATTTTGCCTTCAAGGAAAATTACATTTGAACGTCTGCAGACACAGACACATGGTCTGTACACAACATAATTCACCCACTGCATTCAAACCACACCTGGACAGCAGTGGGCGCTGTTAGCACCGCTAAGGGAAACAACGTATTGCCTGGGCTGGATTTAAACCAGCAACCTAAGGACGCCAGTCATGACTGCTATAGTTGTCGTCCACAGGACGGACTTGACCACCGACTGACTCGACCGTGGCCGTGCAGCAGCCGTCTGTGGTTCTCCAGACGTTACACAAAGACGTCCTCGACTCGAACGACCACTAAACTCTGGTGGTTTGACGGAGGAACACAATCGCTGACAAAAACAACTTCTTAAAAAGGCTCTGACGGGGGAAGAGGTCCAGGCCGCTGTGGTGAGACCATCTGTTGGTTCACGCACACACTCGGCCAAGTGAAAAAAGTCCAAGGGTTCTAAAAATAATCCCACTGGAAACAATGTATTATTGTACTCCTTTAGAATCAGAGTTTGACGGTGGGATCAGAGAAGTCGATCAGGATCACGGCAGGTGACGATGCAGCTGTTGTGATGATTAAAAAGCACCCAAAGACCAACTCCACAACATGAAGTCAAACCGTGGACTCCTGCTCCATGAAAGTGAAAGACGGAAATGTTGATTGAGGTTTTTCCCCCCAGACCTCAAATGACAGAACCCCCAAAAATGTTTTGTTTCCTCCACAAACCAAGAAAATGACTCTCAGTATTTACAGGCAGGGACGCCACCAAACCGTCAAAATTGGAAAAATGCAGTCAGTTACTTTTCTTAAGTCGCTCAAAAGTTACATTTGTTACCTAGAAGGTTAAGATAAAAATGAAATAAAATAAAACATTTTGTTTAACATTATTATTTGATGTTTATTTTGGAGTCCAGTCTCGGGCCAGATTGGACAGATGGGCGGGCGGGACTTGGTCTGCGGGCCACCGGTTGGTTATTACTACTGTTCTACTGCCTACATCTGACCAGTGAGCAGCGCTGTTGGTCTGTTGGTCTTCTCTCCCTCCAGCCTGTTCCACATGTACTGTACTGTCCTGTCCTGTCCTGTCCTGTCCTGTACTGTCCTGCCCTGTCCTGTACTGTCCTGTCCGGTACTGTCCTCTACTGTCCTGTCCTGTATTGTCCTGTCCTGTACTGTACTGTCCTGTCCTGTCCTGTCCTGTACTGTCCTGCCCTGTCCTGTACTGTCCTGTCCGGTACTGTCCTCTACTGTCAGATAATCTATGAGGTGGTACGCCCTGATTTTCATACTGCCAGACTGTGTTTTTTTGTGAATAAATAAGGACTTTGCTGCAACGGTTCACTGCAGCGTGACAGAAGTTAAAGTGGAAGTAAAAAGAAAAAAAAAAGTCCCCAAAATATGATACCATCACCACCATGCAAAACAGAAGGTGTGGTGCTCTTTTTTTTTTAGAATATTACCAGATTATCTTTAAATAAAGAAAGTAAATGGATATGACTGGATTTTCTTCCAATGAAGTAAATTAGTAAAAATGAAGTACAATATTTCACTGTGTCTTACTGCAACCCAGAACCAAATGACCTATGGACTGGTACTGGTCCGCGGACCAGGGGTTGGGGAACAGTCTTCCATTAATAACCGGCCCTTCAAATGGAACTGTATTGCTGATGTGGCCCCCGGTGAAAATGAGTTTGACACCCCTGCTTTGGTTGATACTAGACACTAGCATTAAATAGATAATCTATGAGCTGGTGCGTGCTTTCATACTGCCAGACTCCAACCCCCCCCTTCTTCCAAAAAAACCCCAACAGCCTCTGCACATCTGCGTGCAGAGGCAGATGAAAACCGTCCAGGCAGGAGTGAAGTTTCACTGCCTTGTGAGGAAGTCCAGCTCCTGCAGAAGCTTTTTTGTTTCCTGACTCTCATCTTGTGACCAGAGTTTGGAAAGGGTGTGAGTTTGGAGAGAGGTGAAGGGGGGAGAAAAGGGGGGAGACAGGGAGAGGGGGTTTGTTTGATGAATTGGCAGAGACAGGCGAGAAGAGGCTTCAGAGCTGAGACACGGTGTCACCACGTGTGTGGGCTGCAGCTGTGATACAGATCAAAATGTTCAGAGCAGAAAAACCTAGATGAAATAAAAGGCCAAAACCCAACGGTACCAAACGGTACCGTAACACTGAATGTCAAATATCACACAGAGAGCACGGGTCACATGACAATCACCTACAGCGTTGTGATGAAGCCGTGCTTCAGGTAGATCTGTAAATGGAACTTTATTTAAATTAAAAAAAAGTTCCTTTATCAATAAGCTCTCCAATGACTTTTATTTTGAAAAACACCTTGATACGTGTCAGGAGGCGTCTGTATTTGACAGATAACAAAAGTTATTTTTGTTTGTTAGTTTGTTTGTTTTTTGCAGCCAATAACAAATTATCCACAGTTGGTTAGAAACTAAAAAACACACAAAAAAGAAAAAAGATTTTTGATTTAGTTTGAATTTTCTGACAAAGTTTGCAAAAAATGTATAAAAAAAACTATAAAAAAAACTAACAATACTTCATTGTCAGAGGCTGTGATTGACTGATTTAATAATTAGAAATTACTTCTCATCAGGTACAGATGTCTGCAATGTTTCATTTAACCAACATTCTTCCAGCAGAGGGCAGTGTTGCTACACGTAAGAAATATTGTTCAGTATTGGGAGAAAAATGGAATATTATGTGGACATTTTTGTCTGCTTTAACATATGAGCAGTTTTTTAAATCACTGCTCGTTATTTATTTCAGTCCAAGCAAAGGTCAAACGGTTTTTTTTCCCCCGTCTCTTCTTTGAAGCTGCAGACATTTAATGCCCAACCTTGGGGTATTCGCAGAGCAGGCCTTGAAAAAAAAAAAAAGCCTCATTTGACATGAATGTATTTGAAACATTAGCCCAAAACAAACTCTGTGAATGTGTTGCTAAGAAACACTTAAAAAAAGAAAAAAAGACATTAACTTTGGCTGCTAAAGGTCATTTGTTCATTTAAAGGGAAAGTTCTGGAAACTGTCCCGACTGGCATTTGCAGGGATTTGATTTCTTATCCTGTCCCTCAGGAGCTGGACTTTGTACATGTCTAAGCAGAGGAGGTCGTTCTGGAACAGCTCCCTAAAGTGAACGTGGACATTTAAAAAAAAAAAAAAAAAAAAAGCCTCAAAGACTTCACCAAACGGCAGGTTTAAAAAGCAGACGTAGGAACTTTCTTCAGGTACAAATATGCAACAGTACCTGGTACTGTGTGCTACTGCATTGGAAAGTATACAAGCTTTGAATATGTTGTAGGTACAAATATGCAACAGTACCTGGTAAACTTAAACTAAAAACTTAAACTT